CTCTACTGGAATTTTGGACCACTCTTCTTTTGCAAACTGCCCCAGGACCTTCAGATTTGAAGGATACCTTCTCCCAACTGCTATTTTGAGATCTCTCCACAGGTGATCTATGTGATTCAGATCTGGACTCGTTGCTGGCCATTTCAGAACTCTCCAGCACTTTATTTGTAACCATTCTGAGTGCTTTTTGAAGTTTGTTTTGGGTCATTGTCTTGCTGGAAGACCCATGACCTCTGGTGGAGATGCAGCTTTCTGATACTGGCCACTACGTTGCACCCCAAAATTCTTTGGTAATCATCAGATTTCATTATACCGTTCACACAGTCAAGATATCCAGTGCCAGAAACAGCAAAGCAAACCCTAAACATCTTTGAACCTCCACCATGTTTGATTGTAGGGACTGTTCTTTTCTTCGAATGCCTCATTTCTTTTTCTGTAAACAGTTCCACGATGCCCTTGACCAAAAAGCTCGACTTTTGTCTCATCTGCACACAGTACGTTCTCCCAGAAGGACTGTGGTTTTGTCACATAAGTTTTGGCATACTCCAGTCTTGCTTTTTATGCCTTTGTGTCAGCAGTGGTATCCTCCTGGGTCACCTACTATAGCATCCCTTTTCATTCAAATGGTGACGGAGAGTGCAAGCTGACACTATTGTACACTGTATCTGCAGATCAACTTGAATTTGTTGGGAAGTTAATCTGAGTTCTGTATCCACAATTTGAACAACCCTTCATTTAAATTTTTCAGTAATTTTGCTCTTCCGTTCACGTTCGGGGATGTTAGCTACAGTGCCATGGGCTGTAAACCTCTTGATGATATTTCGCAGTGGACACAGGAACATTAAGATCTCTAGAAATGGACTTGTAGCCTTGAGATTGTTGATGTTTTTCCACATTTTTTTCTCTCAAATCCACAGACAACTCCTTACACTTCATTCTTTTCTCCATGCTCAGTGTCACACACAACACAAAGGTTGAGTCAACTTTTCTCCATCTTAACTGGTTAAAAGTATGAATACTATATTGTCCACACTTCTTACTTGCGACAGATGTGTCTGAATACAAATTAAAGGAGCATCACATGCTTGAAAAGCAATTATTTCTTACAATTTGACAGGGTGCCAATATTTTTGGCCATGACTGTAAGGACTACCCATACTCACTGTTGAAATGTAAGAATTTTCATATCAAGAAATTCTGATATTACAAGGTAACATGAAAGAAAATCTCAACATTATTTTGTTGTTCTTTTAGAGGTTATTAGATTTTTCCCTGCTTTTCTACCCCCTTGTAAATGAACAATGGGAATTCCTTCCACACCTGTACCTTGGATTATGCAAAAGAAGGATACAAGTTATCCATTAGCCATCAATTTATAATTCTAGTGAATCTGACTAATTTATTTCCATTGACTTTGTAATAAACACTGAAATGAATGGCAACCAAGCATTCTTGGATTTTTCAGCAGTTCTAAGCACTAGTTTGGAAAAGGACATACAGGCAGCTTCCAGTGTCTTGATTCTCCTTTGGATAAAACCATTAAAGTAAAATGGTGCAATCTTTTAAGTACTGTATGGGTTTCTGACTCAAAACAGGAGTATTTTCTGCTTTTGTTTTTACCTGGATCTATTCCTATCATGTCTTCTAGACATCTGATTTTTTGTACTGCTGTTGCTGATGCAATGCTATAATGCAAAGGATTCCACCCAATGCAACAAACTTCAGGAGGATCTCTACCACAAGGAGGTGCATCATCATCATCAATATCTTTCAAATCACTGATAAACATGCAGCCAGGAGAATGGGTAAAAGCCAGTGGAGATTCTGAAAGAGAGAAATTATCAATAAAAGGCATAGAATTGAAGACACAGACCTCTCTATTGGTTAAATCAGGGACATTTAAACACTCCAAAGAAGCTTCAACAGCATTTCCTATGTATATTTTAGTACATTATCTGGGGCAGATGGGGCAGTCTCCCAAATGTCACCCAACGATGGACCGTTTAGATGCAGAATTAGAACAGATACAAAATACATGAGGAAAGACTGTTCATGCTTTACTCCAAGCAGAATGGATGCTTTATTCAAAGTAAGCACATCTGACTTTCTTCTGCCATTTGGCTATTACTGTACTTTTGAACACTGGAATTAGCAGGCGGATGGACTGGATGACTGATTATACATGGAGAGGACAGGAAGAATTACTGTGATAATCTTCAGAGATAGTCTTTTAAATAGTAATGCTGGTTAATGATACTTGTATTAAGGAGCAGTAATCTGAGCAGCCTTAATATTTACGGGAAAGCTAACTGACTTACAGGTTTCACTACCCTCCATATTAAAATTGTTTTTAATTCAATCTCAAATTCATTATTTTTTGTATTTATGGATCTAGGAAAATTACAGTAACTGGGCTTTGGTGAGTATATGTTTTCCAGTGATCTGTCTCCAGAGATTAGATTTGCATCTCAGCAATGCAGACTGCTAAGCTTCAGATACAACCCATATAGCTTGTCCTTTGCAATCATTTGTAAAAATTAAAAGTGCATTGTACAATATTTTCAGTTCACTGTGGTTTTCCTTTCTGCTCTATACTTCATTTCCTTTAGTATAAATGACTGCAGAATGATCATTAACTCTAGGGGAAATGTGAGCTGACCAAATGTAATTGACACTCAGTGAGATAGGACTACACTTATCTCAAAATTTACATTTTATTTAACATATTTCATCCATTTTAGCAGACAGAATAACATGATAAATGTATTAAAAAAAAACTCGATATACCACCAGCATAGCATATAACAATCTAGTATTTTTTAAAAAATAAATTTTTGATAAGGCTGGGAAAATTAAAAGGTCTTCACTGAAAAAAAAATTAGGATTCAGCACCTCACAAGTCTACTTGGCCAGGGATTTTCAAGACAGGCCATGACAAATTAAAAACCATATCTCCAGCCAACATCTGCCCCATTTCTGAAGGCAGGAAATCTGGAAATTGGGTTGGATTTTACTATTGAAAGTATTGTTAATACAGTATTATTAAAACTCAGTCCTGTGCATTTTATATGCTCAGAAGCAAATCTAAATGGGAATTACTTCTAAGTAAGTGTGCATGGGACTCACGGCCAGTCTAAATCTGAATTTTTATTTCTAGCATATATCAGATAATTTATATCCTGCTCTTTCACTGCATTTACCAGTTGTTCAGGGTGGTCAAATAAAATAACAAGTTAACCAATAAAAAATAAGACACAGGTAAAGCAGATAAACGCAACTAAAATGTGTGTGTGTGTGTGTGTCTGTGTGCCATCTCTTCCCCCTTTCCCCCTTACACACACAAAGATGCACACACCACTCCACTACTCCCCCCATCAGACAAATGGAAAAAGCCCTTTCCAATCTTTACGGCACAGAAAAAGTTATAGCCTTTACCTGGGAATGAAAAAAGGCGGTTTGCAAGCCAAAAGGGCTAGGCTGAGGATGCAGTCATACCAGGAAAATGTTCCCCTGTTATAACGATACTTTTCATACCTCTCTTGTACTGAATTGTGGTCATGTGGTGTGTGTGTGTATATATAAAATGGCTTCCCGCTGTGCTTAGGGACGGATTCCTCGCTAAACAGGCACCGAAAATGGCCGTTGTATGGAGGATCTTTGCTGGACGGTGAGTTTTTAGCCCATTGGAACACATTGAACGGTTTTCAATGCGTTTCAATGGGTTTTTTAATTTCGCTTTATGACGTTTTCGCTTAACAGAGACTTTCCTGGAACAGATTATCGTCGTTAAGCGAGGCACCACTGTATTTGAATTATAATGGCTGGCTACACTGTGGTGTCAATTTATTTTCTCTCTTGTAGCCCCTTACTTAAATTTTTAAATTATTTTTTAACCATACATAGATATATCGGGTAGGGGTTCCTGTTTGGTAAAATTCCCTCTGTTGCATCAGCATCTCTGGAAGAACTGCATTGCACTCAATGGACCCAGCACCCACATCCAGGGCTATGTCACTTGCCATACAGTAGGTGGAGCGATACAAGATCTACCAATGACCTGGCATACCTGGCTGCTGATATATGTTTATCTATGTATTGACATACAGACTGTGATTTTTTTAAAAGTATGGCAGGGCAGCCACACAGCAGTAATGGCTACCGCCTTCCTCGGTGACTTGGCTTCAGAAAATGATTGATAGAGTTTTGCACACTTGTCACACCACTAAGGAATGTATTGAAGCACCATCAGAAAAAAATAACAGAAGCCCCCTGGCAAGGGGGAATTAAACTGCAGGCTGGGTAATGATTCAATAATGGCCGTGTGTTGTGTAAATGGAAATTTCTACAATGGGATGATATAACAAGGATATAACTAGAGAATATTTGTGATCACGCCCTTGATTTAGCCTTTGTACCATGTGGGCAGGAAAAATTACTTCGATTTTACTTGTTTCATAAACAATCTCAAAGCATTTGATGGTGTAATCGCAACCTGAACAGGGGACATAGTAGAACAGAATAGAAGCCTGAGGGCCATCTAGAATAATGGCTCCACCAATGACAATTTCTGGAAATGAAATCATGTGGGCAGGAAAAATTACTTTGATTTTACTTGTTTCATAAACAGTCTCAATTTGATGGTGTAATAGCAGCCTGAACAGCGGACATAGTAGAACAGAACAGAAGCCTGAGGGCCATCTAGAATAATGGCTCCACCAATGACAATTTCTGGAAATGAAAACAAAGATTGGAGCTATTTAAAAGAAAAGAGTGCCTCCAAAGACCATTCCAGCCAGGTAATCAAGAAAGAGGATTGCAGCTGATAAGGATTATGATCAAGAAGTCCTTCAAATCAAGCAATGACATTTTCCCTCAGTCTAGTTCCTTGTATCAATAATGGATCAGGGTGACCCAAAGATCCCAGTCCATAAATCCAGGCTTATAGCAGAGTTAAAATGTGTCTCAGTTGGGATGAGCAGCAGTCTGGGAGCCATTTGCTATCTTTGTCAGGTCTCACTGGGTTGCAGCAGCCTGACAAAACATGTTACTTTGGGTTTAAAAAAAAAATACAGTGGTGCCTCACTTTACGATTGCCCCGCATTATGACGAATCCGGTTTACGACGATCTTTTTGCGATCGCAATTGTGATCGCAAAACAATGGTCTAAATGGGGGAATTCCGCTTTGCAATCATCAGTTCCCTGCTTCGGGAACCGATTCTTCGCAAAACAATGATTTTTCAACAGCTGATTGGCGGTTTCAAAATGGCTGCTGGGTAAATAAAATGGCTCCCCGCTGTGTTTAACGGATTCCTCGCTATACAGGCAGCGAAAATGGCCGCCGTATGGAGGATCTTCGCTGGACTGTGAGTTTTAAGCCCATTGGAACGCATTGAAAGGTTTTTAATGCGTTTCAATGGACTTTTTTATTTTCGCTTTACGATGTTTTCGCTTCACGGCGATTTTCCTGGAACGGATTATCACTGTTAAGCGAGGCACCACTGTATGCTCTTTTCTCACTCTGGAGATGGGTGTGTTCTTTTTTTAAAAAAAACTGGACTGGAGATGGTGTCAGAGATTTATTGCACCAGAAAGTAAGGATTCTTCTAAGCTTGACATAGTGTGGGAGACTAGAGCTTTTTAAAAATGCTTTCTGCAAATTGATTCTGAAAGAACAACGTATCTGACAGTGCTTTGTAAGGTTGTATTTCAATTTTACTTAACTCCTATGATAAAACAGCAACTCTAATAAACTAACAATATACGTACTGCAATTGCAGACAGCTTCTGCGCCTGTTACCCCGCAAGCCCAAAAGACTGGAACATCTCCAGGTTGAGCCTGTACTGTATCTCCATAACTGGGACTGGACAGATCTTTGATTCCTAAAAAATCTGTAATTCAAAGTGTATAAAACGGAATTAGTCTTGCAGGCATAGTAATTAAAAATCAATGGTACTGGGTTAAGATTCCATTCTCTGGGATGGGGGTGTGATCTGGACCTCTACAGCTTGCTACACAGGCTGGCTCAGAGGGCACAGCGGAGAACTGAACTCACAACCTCTGACCCTGCAGGCAGGTACCCAACTCACTGAGCTATCAGTTATTCCAAGGCTAGTCCTGAGTGGGAAATACTTTTCACCCAAACAACATGTGCCCTGTGACCCCTGCTTCCCTCAAGGACACACACAGAGATCTTGTTATAAATTTGCAATACAATACATATATATAAACATCACTGACCAGGACTACCAATGTGAACTGGTGCTCCATGGGATTTTTTCAGTGGATACGTTGTTTGCACAGCAATGTCCAGTTTGTCTTTCGGAATAGGTCTCATGCTTACTACTAGATTACAGTTAAATTTTTCAGTACCATAGCAAGGCACAGCAGTCTGGTAATGGTTTCAAAAGATATCAAGAGTTATTCAAATATATCTCCATTTCATTTACCTGCCCTTCAGAAATGTATAAAACTATAGTACAATGTATTCACAGCATTAAGAACAAATCCTCCTAATCACTTTTAAGGTAAAAGTGAAATCACAGTACACAGGATGCAAACAGCTGATACATTTCTCATTCCAGGCTGTCTTAAGTAAAGATATCTACAGATATTTTATAGGAAACAAAGGAGGCTGTCATGCAAATAAGCAGAAAACCTTGAGAAGCTGTGATAATCTATCTCTGAACTAATTCATATACAGTACTTTGTTCTGTTAATTTAAGCCAAATTTCTACCGTTCTTCTTTGAAATCTTCCCACAATGACGTGCTTTTAAAAATAACTGCGAAACGGTCAGTCCCTTTGAAGTTTTATGGTCTGCCCTCAGTTAATGAAGTTATGATCTTCAGTAGCCCACCTCCTCCTGAAACCCCTGTTGTACAGAACAGCCTAGAGCATGATAAAATGAAAGATACTTTTCCTAATTCCCAGATAAGATCCCATTCCCAGCTGGCTAGTCATGAACAGGAGCATTCCAGTAAGAACTGGAGATGCACTGTACAGTGGGGTCTTGACTTAAGAACGGCCCGAGTTAAGAACATTTTGACTTAAGAACCGCTCTCATAGGAAAATATTGACTTCACTTACATACTTAGATTTGAGATAAGAACTGAAAAAAAACCACGTGGGAGGCAGGGAAAGTGCAAAATTTGAACTTTCAGTTAACTGTTGGCCAGTGAAAAGGGTGCCTGTCTGCTTCCTCACTCCTCCCAGCGTTTAGAGAGTGGATTGGGAGACAGTCTTCAGACTGCCTGGTACTGTACTGCCTGGACTGTATTTTCCCTGCCTTCCCTGAACCTTTCTTGACCTAAGAAAAAAAGAAACAAAATATACCCCTCTAGTGGTCGAAGGCGGAATAGCAGCTTCCCATTAGTTTCTATGGACGGAAAAGAGCAGATACAGATCAAATGGTTTTCAATGCATTCCTATGGGAAATGCAGATTTGACCTGCAAACTTTTTGACTTGAGAACTGCCTTCCAATACGGATTAAGTTCTCAAGTCAAGACCCCACTGTACTATGAAGATCTCCAAATGTTAGCTGTCTATTTATGGCTAGTTACATAGATTTTGGTGCTGGCACTTTCTGACATAATCTTACTGCTCTGTACTTGAATGCCGTTTTTCTTACCTTGTACATGCTCACATTACATTTCTGTTCCACATTTCTTACAGGAACACCAGCTTTCTGGAGCAACTTTTCAAAGGTGAAACTACAGCCCAGATAGAAAGTCACCATGTCTTTAAGCTGTTCAGAATATTCTTTCAGATTTTTCAGAAGACCTGTACATTCTCCATTCTCATACTTTCTGTACTGCAAACAGTCAGTTCTGTCAAAATAAATGAACATTATCACAGTGAGATTTCTCTGAAAGTAACTGTCTGAATTGGCCAACCAGGTTCAGATTAAAATATTATACTCACTAATCTGGAATTTATGAGTTGACATGTGTAAGACTGTAGTGTCAATCACTTTAAGGTTTCCAATTATTCACTTTAATTGCAAAAAGCCCTGTAGTTCTATATCTGTACGTAGGTAAGGATGAGAATCTCCTTCACCTAAACCAGAGATCCATAAACACAAGAGCACTCCCCATAACTCTTAACGTTTGCAAGTATTAAGTACTTCCCTAAGAGCTGAGAGGTCCAAGAGAAGCAATACCACTATCTGGTGCTTTAATGTACTTGCATATAATATTTGCTGAAGAAGCAAAAAGGGGATAACTAGGAACAAGGAGAATGCTGCAAGGCAACAGATCCATATCCACTATAGATTTATTAGGGATGCTTCATTCCAAGGTCCTTCACTGATAGCCAATTCCTATATCCAGTTAGATATTAGTAGAATTTTCAACTATTCTTCAAGGCAGACAAGACAAAGCACAGGACATTCATGTACAAATGGAAGAAGAGTGAAAAGCTAATATGGATTATTGGGGAAAGAGACATTTTTGTGGTAGTGACCTGCCAAGTGTGTTCAATGTTTGTCTGAGAACAACATGGAGTAGACAAAAAGCAAATGCAAATTGACTGCACTGTTATGGAAGGAAAAGCAAGACATTCTGTCTAAGACTTTAAATCAATGAAAAGTCCTGTGGGATCCTGAAATCCAACACATTTATTATGTCATTCTTTTTGGAGACACTGTCTCACTGGATATGTGCAGTGTTATTTTCAGGTTGGCAGATTTATACTTACCTGGTTTCCCTGAAAATAAGCCATAGTATGATTTTTCAGGATGCTGGTAATATAGCCCTACCCCCAAAATAAGCCCCAGTGAAATAAAACCCCGCCCTCCACCACTGTGCAGCAACCAGAAGATGACATGACTGTATTTGAATAAATGTAGACTCGAAAACCAGGAATGATTTTTAAAAATATATCATATTTTACTTGATCGCTATTACTACATTCACTGCTTTGCTCATTCATTTGAAAAGCAGTCCACAGATTTGTGAAACAAATCAAGATGACTGTTTTCAGTGCAGTCTTTCTTTAATTAGGACAGTGGTTTCTCAACCTGGAAAAATTATGTTAACTGAGGTATTTATAAACCGAGGTACCACTGTACATATTAAATCTACACATACATGTTAGGTACCATGTTTTCCCCCAAATAAGACAGGGTCTTATATTAATTTCTGCTCCAAAAACGCATTAGGGCTTATTTTCAGGGGATGTTTTATTTTTTTCATGTACAACAATCTAATTCCGAATGCATTAAGTATTTCTGCTACAACACGATGTCTGAGGGCAGTTTGGCCAAGGGGACACAAAGAGGAAAAAGAAGATGATGATGGAGGAGGAGGAGGCAAGCTGGTGGCAAGAAGCAACCCAGGAAGGAAAACAGCGGGAAGGGAGTGATGGCGTGGCACGGGGTGGGGGAGGGAGGTGAGGAAGAGAGGTGGAAAGGGCATCCACTGTGGGTCAGTCATCCGGTGGGCACCGCATAAGGTGCCAACACAGCTACGGCTGCTCGCCTGGAAGAGGAAACTGGCGGGGCCTCTTCTTCCTTGTTGGGAGGGGCACCCAATCAGCGGCAGACCTCACAAGCTCCACTTATCAGAGCCACACACTCCCTTTCTCTTTCTCTCTCCCTGCTTGGCCAAATCCTCTTTTCTATCCGTGGGAACGTGCACGAGAGCCAGCGTGGGAGCTCCTAGCCTAGCCTTGCCTTTCCTGACCTCTGCCCCTCCTCGCCTCCCATCATTCCAATTCCCTGGATGTTCGGCTTCTTTTTAACCCTTTCTCAAGCCCTCCCTTCCTGTTCTCCTTCCACTTCTTTAAACGTCCCTGGTGCTAAGCCCCCCAGGGGGGGCTCCGCCGCTGCCTCCTCCTCTGCTGCCGGGAGGTGCCACGGTGGTGGCTCGGGTTCCTCTACCAGTGTTGCCTGGACCGAGGCTCCCGTTGAGGCTGGCAGGTGCTGGGTTCATTTTGTGGAAAACAACACCGGTGCTGGGCAGCGTTGGGAGTGGAGGGCGGTGGGGTCAGCAATTTTACAGTCTGTTACATTTGTCTTCTTTTGAATGAGAGAGATCATTAGAGACTTTCAACATCTAGATCTGAAACTGAAAATTAAAAGCAAAAAAAGTCTAAAATGAACTCCTATAAACAGAATTATTTATCTATCAAAATAAATGGAACGTGCAGAATACCAATTGTACAAAGAGAATATTTTCTGATAAGTGTCAATATCCCTTTCCCGTATACTTTAGATGCTATATATCAAAGCATACCTAATATCAGAATTGTTGCTCAACGGTGGGCATTTCCATTCACCTGGATCACTTCTATACAGTAGTGGAAGTGGTCCATCGTTTGCTTGGCAGAATTTTTCAAAGTCATCCGCAAGAGATTTATGCAGAATGATGATATTTGCTTGCTTAAAACCTGTTTTTATTTTAAAAACACAAATTGAATTTTATATACATATACATATACATACAAATTTTAAAACTTAATAATTAAACAACAAACTGAAATAACCAAGTGAAGTCAAATATTTCTTATTTATGAGTTGCATCTGATAATGCAGTCCACAGAAGTGTGTGCCAAATAAATCCTTTTAGCATTTAAGATGCCAGAAAACCCCTTTTTGATTTTACAGGAGCAGATTACCATGGCTACCTTATCCACAATACATAGTCCGATACATTTTGTCCTTATCTAGCAACATCATATTTTAAACCAGGTATTTTGTCTGATAATGGCTGAAATCCTGTTTAGTGTAGTATGTTGCACTAGAGTAGGCCAATTTGAATCAAATGAACTTACAGAGAAGCTGATTTACCAAATTTCCACTGATACAACAGGGCTAATCTAGTGTGATTTATTACACTAAGCAACTGGATTTCAGCCATTGTTTGCTCAAACACATCTTGGAATGTGAGCTTCTCTTGGTGTAGTAAATCAGATCACAGCAGGCCCATTTAAATCAGCTCCACTTTACTCCTTTATACTATTTTACAACAGCTAGATCTGGATCTATCAGGCCAATATTTCGTGTTGTGCTTTGAGAAGATTCAGCTTTGCCTCAGGTAAGCAGTGGCACAGATCACGTATATGTAATCACTAAAGTATATATATATTCATGCTGGCAATATTACCATGTTTTATACCATTCATAATCCCAGTCCTCTAGATACCCATTATATAAATAAATAAAACGACAATCAGTAAGCATTTCGCTTACCGATTTTCGCATAGCGATTTTTAAAAAAACAGCTGATTGGCGGTTCCAAAATGGCTGCCGGACGCCCAAAATGGCCACGCCCAGCATTTTTGCGCCCTGCCCTCGCTTACCGAGGGCGCGAAAATGGCGGCGCTATGGGGAAACTTCGCACAACAGTGAGTTTAGGAGCCATAGGAACGCATTAAACTAAGTTTAATGAGTTTCTATAGCGTTTTCGGTTCCGTATAGCAATGTTTCCCCATAGCAATGGTTAATCCGGAAGAGATTAACCTCGCTATGCGGGGCACCACTGTATATGTAATCACTAAAGTAAATATAGTCATGCTGGCAATATTACCATGTTTTATACCATTCATAATCCCAGTCCTCTAGATACCCATTATATAAATAAATAACATTTATTTATTATATATGTTATATTTCACTGTTTTAACTTAGAGTAGCTGGTTTTACCTTTGTATACATTTTTTTTGTCAGGAGTATATCTACTATACTTTGAATGTGCATACATAAACATGTACTAGCAGAAACATTTTAAGCTGATCCAAGAAAGAATGTGGTTCCCTGGAGAGAACTGGTGGAAACTTAACAGAATTCAGTGCTCCTCCTTTAACTCTGGATGCAAAACTTAAGACAGGCAAATTTAGTTTAGAAAAATGCTTTGTATTTACATATGTAACTTAAACAGCTTAACATGATAACATAACAGCATATAGTAACTGGTTATTCGCAACCCAGTACAATATAACAACATGACTGCCCCTATATCAGAGCAATCTGACTGCTCCTGAACTAGAGCAGTAAAGGCTCTCACAGAGCTACCTTTACACAGGGAAAAAGCCTCTGTAAGTAGCAACACCTGCCCGAGGCAACTCAAACCTCTGACTCTGCTTGTTAACCAGCAACAGGTGTATACTAGACATACAGTCTTTCTTACATATTTTACGAACATGAGTAGATTTCATATGTTCAAGACTTTAATTTACAATATAGTGACCTGCTCCATTACACATAATCTTGACAACTTTGTATGTGATTTTTGTTTACTTGGTCAAAAAGACAACTGCCAAAATCCTGTTACTTTTTTACACCACTGAAATGCAGTTGGTGTAAATCTCAGCTGTTGACATGCCATAAGAAATCAGCATAGGTATTTGCTACCGCACACTGTTTTTTGCTTGTGTATAATTAAAGTTATAGCATTTGAGTTTATGTCTAACTAAAAGCCTTGAGAAAATAAAAATATATTCCATGGTTCTGAAAAAAAGCACTACATTGGCATTAAATGACCCTCTCAAGGAAAAGGTGACACCACTCAAATGGCTCAGTTCACCTCATTGCAAGGGAAAATTGACAATCAGACTTTGGACTGGGCTAGAAATGGATTGTAAGCCAATACAGTAAGCTACTGGTTAGCAGCTCAGGGACGTAGATACCAAGAACTGTATTTAGTATGAATTTTCAGTAACAATCCAGGAAACATTTACTAAGGAGGAAATTTTATTAATCCAATAGGACTTACTTCTAAGTAAACACACAAAGGATTACACTACATGCCTTCACATGCTAAAATAAGCACGTACTGTACTTTCAGTTGCATGTTTTCAACAATACCCATCTTTAGTATCAAATTATTCCATTGAAAATATATACTGTACTGTATAAGGTTAAACCAAGAATCCAGGGCTGTGGTTTAGGATTGACATTACCACTATAATACAAGCTTTCTGTTATTTTAAGATGGGAATATATATATACTATAGAGTCATTTTAAAAAAAACCTAGTCTTGATATGCAATATTTTGGCAGAATCTTTTTACAGATGCTGCACATTTTTGGCATGTAATTGGTTTTCCAGCCTATTTGAATATTTTCAAAGTGAGGACAAAAAGGTAGAACAAATTACAAAGGTAAACAACTTTAAATAGCACCAACTAGTAGGTTTGCTATATTAAACCAGTGAGTCAATTTTTAGCTTATGCACTTTGAAACAACCACAAACCATAAACAGTGACGTCTGTAAGTGAAATTTCTGAAATAAATAATGCCAGTTTGTTTAAATAATACAAACAATAAGGTGGAAAAATGTTTGGAATATAACCTTACATTCTGAAATTGCTCTCATAAATTCCAACAAAATAAAAGAGACAGAGGGGAAGGTAGAAAATTGGTTCAATCTGGTCCGATCAAACTTTGGGGCAAGAAAGAAAAGTTTGTCCTATATAAGAAAAGAGAAAAGCCCAAAAGAAAACATGAATGGCCATATTGGGAAGGCAGGGGTGTACCCTATCAAAAGCGAAATAGTTTCGAACTTAGCCTTATTCGGTTAGTGGTGCAAACAGCAAAAAGATTGAGAGTTTGGCTTGAAATTGATGGGCATTACCAAATGGGTTTACCCAATAGCATCACAATAGCTGCTCCAGGAATAGAAGTGAAACACTGTAGAGCAGCTAAAATAACAAAGCTGAAAGAGAGACAGAAGATCGCGCTGGTGGCAAACTGTGTCCGGAGAGGTCCCAAGTGCCAGAGAGACTTCACCATTGCGGAGGTGTCCAAATTCAAACCAGGAGCCGCGCCAAGCCAAGCAGACGACTGCGAGAACCTTCATCCGAGGATGTTCTGGAGAGGGAAGCTGCAGCCTCCTCTGGGCATTGCCTCTGAGTGCGTGCCTGCGGGTGCTATACACCTGTTAGGCTGGTTAACTGTGCTGAAATGGGCCCCCCTCTATACTGTGTCAATCACATTTTCTCTGCCCATTACAAGATCTTTTTCTATGCATTTTGCAGGACGTAATGGACATTGACACAGATGGTGTGTGGTTTCGTTTTTCTCAACATTCACGTTACATCAGGAAATATCCCTCATTCTCTAAATTGTCCTTAGATCATTAAACACCACTATGTAATCTATTCAGAGATTTCCAGACATCCCAGCCAGCATTTATACCCTGGCATTATCTGGTCAACTAGTTCCATCCATTCTGCTAGATGTGTAGTGGTAAGTCTCCACAGAATTAGTTTAGTCGAACTGCTAGTAATCTAGCAGTATTTAAGAATCTCTTTAAAGTATTCGCGAAGGCTTTCACGGCCGGGATCTAATGGTTGTTGTGGGTTTTTCGAGCTCTTTGGCCGTGTTCTGAAGGTTGTTCTTCCTAACGTTTCGCCAGTCTCTGTGGCTGACATCTGTGCTGTCCTCTGAAG